GGAGGAGTTGGCCTACTTCCAGCGGTGAGGGCACTGGGCAGGAGCTGGGCAGCGGAGGGCCTCCGGTCACACCTGTTCCTGGGGCTGGGGTCACCTGCCTCATGCTTTGGCTCATTGGTATATAAACAGTGATATATGCCAGGCACTGTGCTGGGCACTGGGAGGACATGAATCACACAGCCCCTGCCTTCCTGGAACTCCAACCAAATGAGGGAAGGGGAGTGCAGAGGCACACAGCAGCCACAGCAGCAGTCAGAGAAGTATTCCTAGGAGGTGTGACACCTAAGCTAAAGTTTGAGGGGTATTAGGCAAAGCGTTTCAAAAAAGGGTACTTTGGTGTGAGACTTACTTTTGGTATCCCCATCACTTTCCCCTGCCCTTTCGCCTCCTCTGTAGGGAGCTGCTCACAGACCACAGGGTACCTGGGCTTCTCCTGGAAGCCATGAAGGTGGCTGTCAGGAAGCAGCGGAAGAAGATCAAGGCGAAGATGTTAGGGACCCCAGAGGAAGCAGAGAGCAGGTAAGTCCTTGCCTTCATTCTCATTGAGCTACCCCTCCCTCCCTCGTTCTGTTGAGCCTGATGACCCAGCCTGGTCATGCTCTAACCCAGTCTAGTCACCTCCGAAGTCTGCTGACCTATTCTGCTCACCCTATTGAGCTTGCTGACCCAGCGTGATCATCTTTTGAGTCTTTTTGTCTCAGACTGAACCTATCATCCCAGCCTCATCACCCCTTGAACCTAACACTCTAGTCACTCTTTTTTTTTTTTTGTAATATATTTTTATTGATTTCAGAGAGGGAGAGGGAGAGAGAGATAGAAACGTCAATGATGAGAAAGAATCATCGATCGGCTGCCTCCTGCATGTCTCTCACTAGGGAATGAGCCCGTAACACAGGCATGTTCCCTGACCGTGACCTCCTGGTTCATAGATCGACACTCAACTACTGAGCCACATCCGGCCAGGCTAGTCTAGTCACTCTTGAACCTGCTCACCTGGCCTGGTCACCCCCTGAGCCTGCTGTCCAGCCTGCCCTGCTGAGCCTGCCATTCTGGCCTGGTCACTCCTTGAGCCTACTAACTGGCCTGCCCTGCTGAGCCTGCCATTCTGTCTTGGTCACCCCCTGGGCCTGCTGATCTGATCTAGTCTGGTCTTGGTCACCCCTGAGCCTGCCTACCCACCTCCTAAGTCTGCTGACGTATTCTGGTCACCCTGTTTAGCTTGCTGACCCAGCCTTCCCTGCAGAGTCTGCTACTCTGGCCTGAGCCTACTAT